GGGAAAGGTGCACAAGCAACAGGGATGATGGCAAGCTTGAGAATACGGTCAAGCAAAGCCGATACATTTGGGAGAGCTTCACAAGGAGTGGACTGAAGCTGGAGTCAGTGCATCAAGAGTCACCACACTCAGACGTCTTCAGGAAAACTTCTGAAACAGAAACAATGTCAGAAGATCTCACCTGGGCTAAGGAGAAAAAGAACTGGACTGTTGCTCAGTGCTCCAAAGTCCTCTTTTCAGTCCTCAAGTAAATTTTGCATTTCATTTGGAAATCAAGGTGTGTAGTCTTGAGGAAGACTAGAGAGGCACAGAATCCAAGCTGCTTGAAGTCCAGTGTGAAGTTTCTGAAGTCAAAGATGATTTGGGGAGCTGTGACGTCTGCTGGTCTTGCTCCATTGTGTTTTATCAAGTCCAAAGTCAATGCAGCCGTCTACCAGGAGATTTTGGTACACTTTATGCTTCCGTCTGTTGACAAGCTTTATGGAGATGCTGATTTCATTTTCCAGCAGGACTTTATTACTGTGCTTGATTATGGAGCCAGATCAGCCTCAAAAATAATACATTTAATTAATGTAAATTCATTAATTAATTAAAACAAAATTCATAAATGCACAGCACAATTTACATTTACAAAATCCGATTCGTAAATTCAAAACACAATTCATAAATACATAAATATTTCCCCAAATGATCCACATATGCACAGATTCCTTTTTGCATGAGCAATTTATGATATATTAATGCAGAACAGAACATTTTTATTCACAAACATGTCTGTATTTGTACAAATTGCTGCACAATCATTTAATCCCGAATTCCACAGACTCAAATTGAAAGACATTTGTTTGTGGTTAGTAAAATACATGTATAAAATGTATGCAGTACATGGATAATTGTGCGTGCATCTATTAATCATTTAGAGTCTAATATCATCCCATAGCGATCTGGCTCCATACTTGATTGGCCAGCCAACATGCCTGACCTGAAGACCATATGGAATCTATGGGATGTTTTCAAGAGAAAGGTGAGAAACAGCCGATCCAACAATCCAGACAAGCTGAAGCTCAATAGTGCCTCAGCAGTGCCACAGGCTGATCGCTTCATGCCACACCTGATGCTGGAGTTTGTGCTAAACGAGCCCCCACCAAGTATTGAGTGCAGAAATCAACATACTTTAAAGAACTTGAGCTTTTCTGTTTTGCAAATCCTTTATTTGACTGATCTTAGGAAACATTCTATATTTTGAGATACTGGATTTTTGACTTTCATGAGCTGTAAGCGCCCTGCCACAACAGTTCTTGTCATTTGAGTGAGTACATACACTGAGCATTACTGACTGAATATTTTGCTGATGGGAAAAAAGTAGAGCACATCGGATAATGTACAATCCAGCCTGTCAATGTGATGCGTAATTAGTATTTGTAGTGCAACCTCTTGTTGAGATGCTTATATAAACAGAGTATTGTTTTGATAGCACCACAGTGTTTACACTTTTCAGGAAAATCAAACCACAAATGGTTTGGTTTTAATTGTTTTTGCATATTAAAGAACTTTAACTTTTCTGATTTGCAAATCCTTTTTTTTGATTGATCTTAGGAAATATTCGAATATTTTGAGATACTGGATTTTTGATTTTCATGAGCTGTAATCTCTAATCATCAAAATTAAAACAAAAAAAAAACTTTTGAAATGTTTTACTTTACATGTAATGAATCTAGAATATATGAAAGTTACACTTTTTGAAATAAGTTACAAAATAAATGAACTTTTTCACGATATTTCACTATAATACACACACACACACACACACATACATATATATATATATATATAGCAAATATTGATGTAAACAACAAAAATCAGGTATTAAACACTCACACAGAAGCGCTGTATTCACTAACAGATTGCTTCTGACAGCTAAAGCACTGTATGTGCAAATACAGCACACAAACACGAGTATAATATTATAGGGCTAAAGACTGGAAATATGACCATTTAAAGACACAAGAGCAAGTCATTTACATATGATAGAGGTCATTTTAATCTGACACTGTGGAGATGAATGAGAAAACAGTCAAACTAACGAATGACAGTTCATTCTCTTTTTAAACCCTGAAGTTGTTAAAGCTAACAAAGAAAGACATCAAGTAACAATAATGAATTAAGATTCTATAAGAATCATAAGAAATCTGCATGTTAACATACAATAGGCTCAAATGTCATAAACCTCAGAAACCTGCTGGATGTACAATAAGCTGACAGATGTTGGAAGAGAGAAAGGCAAAGCTGCAGAAAGCTGAAGTCGTGTCCGTCTGACATCTGTGGACCGTTTCAAGCACAGAGCTCCAGCAGCATCCCATGATGCAGCTCTTCTCTGTGCTTTCTGCTGCTCATCTGTAGGTCAGATCTGTGACAGGTGTCCTCCTCTGTGGAGTAAACGCCCGAGTCTCTGCTGCCGTGTCGGCTGTGTGTGCTGGAGTCCTGTTCCTCAGTGTTTGAGTGCTCATCCACCGCCACAGCGTCCAGCTCAGCACTGACCATCACCAGCAGCTCACACACAGACTCTGGAGACTCAGGAGCCAGCAGCTGCGGCTTCTCGGAGTCACTTAACCACAGCTGGAGAGACATAGAGAGAGAGAAGTCAGTCCTGTTTGTAGCTTCGTATTCAAGAGCACCAAACCAAGACCCTGGCTCTGTTTACACCTGCTTTTCACCCAGTTATGATCATTTACTCACTTCCTCCTTGGTTCTACCTATTGGCTGTTGATTGGATTTTATGATGGAGCTTGCAGTGTATAGTAAGAAAGGGGCAGAGCATTTAGTCATATATACATATATATATATATATATATATATATATATATATATATATATATATATAG